TATTGCTGTCTTTAGATGGCTCAGGTGGTGGTTTAACAGAAGTATTGTAGGATTTCCATGTCTTATTGTCCTAGAAATAAAAACCAAACAAAGCAAGTATTCTTTTCTGCAGAAAAGAGAGAAGGAGAACAGACCGAGGATAAGACCCCTTGAAAAGTCTGTACTCAACTCTGCCAGAACCTCTCTTTTCTTTTGCTTTTATTATTGGACTGAATATCAGGAGTGGTAAAGTGTTACCAGGGGGGTTCTGATGTTATCAGGAAGGGTCAGAAGTTATCAGTCACCTACGGCTGCATAGATTGATAATACCAGTCCCTGAGAGAGGTATTTCCTCTCCTCATTTAGAACAACACTTAACATTAATGGGCCAGGTATCTGTAACTTGAAATAAAATGATAATATATACATTTTTCTAACATTTGTTTTATTAAACAGATCAAAATGCACTTATTTTTTAGAGCTCTAGTGTATGTGACCAGAAAAATACCAACTATGTCTCAATCAAATGGCTGCACTATGAGTAAAGAACGGCAAGAGTCACACAAGAAAATGATGATGTCACCTCTGGCTCACAGCGATACAGAGGTTTGTTTTTAAGCAGAATTTATGTATCTTTCTTATTTTGCTAAAAACTGCTGCTGATGATTTGGAATATTGTCATCGTCCCTGTATTTGACAGTGGTTGTGTTTCAGGTGTTTTCTATCATAAAAAAGGAGAAGCACAAGCAAATATATGGTCTGGAACTAATAGCTTCTGAGAACTTTACCAGCAGAGCTGTTCTCGAGGCGATCGGCTCCTGTTTGACCAACAAGTACTCCAAAGGTTTTCCTGGTCAGAGGTATATTTCCTGTTCAAGTTATCCTAGTCTTGATTAAAACCTAGAGGCTATTTTAAATGAATATTGTGTGATAAATAATGGTGTAATTCGTATGCTCAGCTACTACTATGGTGGTTTAGAGTATAATGATGAACTGGAGACTCTTTGTCAGAGGAGGGCGCTGGAGACCTTTGGTTTAGACTCTCAGAAATGGGGGGTGAACGTGCGGCCATACTCAGGTAAAAAACCCTCATAAACACGCCTCTGTCAACTTTTTTATACTTGTTTAAATTCAACCATGTTTCCACCTAAGGTTCACCTGCTAACTTTGCTGTCTACACGGCTGTTGTTGGGCCTCATGGTAGGATCATGGGCTTGGACGTTCCTGATGGGGGTCACCTATCGCATGGCTACATGAGGAATGAGAAGAAAATCTCTGCAACATCCATGTTTTTTGAAACTATGCCATACAAGGTTTGATTTAGTTTTTTGAACTATGGTCAATTAGATACCCAGGAAAAAGTACTCCAAGTACCCAACATGCAGTTAGATTTTCCTTAGTTTAGAAAGTGCCTCCTGAAAAGCTTTGACCAGAATCCATCCAAACTAAAATCAGTCCAAGTCTGTAACAGCCTTATTGTGTTACCATCAAGTCCCAAAACACACCTAATTCTCAATGCATTGACTGTGCTGGTGATAAATAAAGGAGGTCTTTAGACGGAGGCTAAGATGTGTGTACCAATAAAGAGTGAGATTGTCATCTGGTAGTAAAATAGAGACACAAATATAGTAGGTCTACTGGTGTTTTATTGAGAATAAAATTTCAGTATAAGAGCTATAGTCATGTGTCCACCGATAACAAAGCAATCTCAAGAAATTATCTCTAGGAGCAATAGCTTGAGGACCTAACCAACTAGCACTCTACTCAGGTAGTAAAAAGTGTTATTTGGTAAACTCAGTATGCTCAGAATTAGCCAGTGTTAAATGTGACCACAAAGGGAAAAAAAACACTAAAATGTTGAGAGAATTTAGGAAGAGAGAATAGTATCTCCATTTGTGACAACCATAGTAGTCTGATGTGAACTCCCATTTCCTATTTACTGACTGGAATACTTTATATAAGTAAGCTGCAGAGTTTGCAGTGAGTTGAAAAAGTGGAAAGTCAATTTTTTTATATTTGTCTTTATTTTACTCATTATGTTCAGATTTATGATAGTAATGTTGCCTACAAAATATTGTTTAACGTTTGTCACTTTTCATTCTAACACTGTCAGTCAGCTTACAGGATGTTGCATAACTTTAAAGTTATGCAAGACATTGACAAGGTTAGAAATAATGATTTGTATTTAAAATAAGATTTTTTTTACATCAAACTTTGCTTTCATCAAAGAATCCTCCATTTGCATCACTTATCTTCTTGCTCAGTTGTGCAACGCGGCCTCCCACTTCTTTTTCTACTCTGGTTAGAG